AGGGAAGAGTAGGATAATTTTAAATTATGACTATAACTACATAGTACAAATAATTCAACTCCAAAACTCCCAAAAATACTAATTTTAGGCAAATGATAACAGTTTTACATTTTCTCTCTTCCTACCATGTGAATAAAATCTGAAAGTTAGTAATTAATGGAATGAAGATGAATATAATTATGTTACTTTGTACTTAAGCATATACTCTTCCTTCACTAACATGTTTATACAACTTCTAAGTGTGTTTTACATTATAATTCATCTACTATAAACATTTTTTACCTGATTCAATTTTAATAAATTATAGTAAGTAGCTAGAAGGCAATAACTTCAAATATATATAGTAAAGAAGTTAGGCAAGTATATGGGCAAATTAATGTCATGTTAAAGTTAAAATTTATCCCTAAATGTAGTATGAGAATGGAATGGTGAGCTACACTCCCAACATAATTTAGTATTGTCCTGGAACTCATTAGCAAATTTAATTGTAAAAAATAGATAATTCTAATTGACATATATGAAGAAATACTATTTCTTCATATATTTATGGAATTTAAATTAATTGAAAAGGAAGCTAGACGTTAGAGACACACAAGAAATTTGTAATGAATATTTAAAGGGTATTCATCATGGAGAAAAACAGGAGAAGGCAGCTTAAGTAGAGCATTCATACATAGGTCAGATCCACAAGAGAACTTTCATTTAGAGATTTAAAAAGAAAAAGGAGAGAAGAAAATATATCAATGGGAAATTGATGTTTCAATTATGATAATATACTTATTAATATTAAAATATAAAACATTTTATTTTGATTTACATGAAATTGAGTCTATAATAGAATTAACCCTTTTTGGTAAAGGGTATTTTTAAAATCACTGAACATCAATCTACCTGTAAACCTCAGCTAAAACTATCCTATCTTGCAATTTAAAATTTGAAATGATTTTTATATGTTGAATTTATTACACTCTCTAGAAATATTACAATTGGTGTAAATATAAAAAATGGCATATCAAAAAATTCACTATACAGAAGACTGACATACTGAAAAGAAAGAAAAACAGTAACTTATATTAGGACTTTTCAATTTAAACAATCTTTTGCTCAGAGTGATGATTTAGTTGAGGGCATATGATTTAAAATAAAAATAAAATTAAAAAATACAGGAAATAATTAAATTGAAAACTGCTGAAAACTAAAACTAAGACTTTATGTTCTTATTTCCAGGAACTAAGGAAACCAAATATTTTTATAGTTTAAAGTTGCATTTAAAATAGAATGTGTGTGTGTGTGTGTGTGTTTCCATAATAGCACTATAAACTTTGATAGTCTGTCTCCCAAAATGATAATTAACATCTCTAGAAATAACATACAACAACAGAAACAAAAACCATAACATAACTGCCTACGCCTTCTGTAAACACAGTCTTGTGAAGGAGAATGAAAACTAGTTTCTCTCTTTATTTTTTTCTTTAACGGCTTTGTCTATGGGGAAGGCTTTAGTTGAGGAGCTTCAGAGTGATTCTGGAGCTAAGATTGTTCATAAGTACCTTGGAAGGAAGACAAATACAGGTTGAATAATTCAGAGGTAATTGCAGAGAGGAGTCAGAGAAGGGGATACCACAACTGTATGTCTAAAACCACAGAAATCCCAGCCTAAGCTGTGATATTTGCACGTGTAGGACAGATAAAATCCTGCACAGCAGAGACTTCGGGAATCAAATGAGATTTGAATCACCACTGGCAACACAGAACTTAGGGGTGATTTCCTGCTTCAAAACACTTTTTCCAGATGGTTGTCAAATTATCCAGACTCTGCACAACATAATATTTACAGTATCCAGGACAGAATTCAACAATTCTTGACATTTAATGAGCCAGGAAAATATGACCAATTCAAATGGAAAGGATAATCAACCTATGCACATCCCAAGATGGCTCTAATATTCCACCTTAAGAATTTACAAACAGTCTGGTCAAGATGGAGGCATAGGCAGACAAGTCTCGCCTCATTGCACAACCATAAGAAGGAACAGAACTAGCTTAAAAATGAAAAACACTCAGAAATGCCAGAAAACCATCCAGAAAAACACCCAGAACTGCACAGAAGTCCAACAACCAAGGATTTAAAGAAGCTATATGCATCCAGATGGGTAGCAGGGGCGGAGACGGGGAGTCTGGGTGGAGCAGATGTGGTATGTGAGCGGTGAGCCAGGGCCTTGAGGCAGCGGGTGGCTCATGGAAAGGTGGTCCCACATTCATGTGTAGTGGGTCAAACATCAGGGGGACACCTCGTGAGCACCTGACCCCAGCCTCAGGCCAGATGCACAGCCCAGGGTTCCAGTGCCAGAAAAATAAAGCTTCATGATTTCTGGCTGTAAACCCAGTGGGGGTTAGGGCAGCAGAAGAAACTGCTGGTTTCTCAGCAGAGCCAGGAACACACACAAACTCACCCATTGGGAACCACAACCAAGATAGCGGGTGGAAGGGTGGCTGCCGCTTATGGAACGTGGGTGAAGTGAGTGAAAAAGGGATGAGAGCCAAGCAAGCCCCTAGAAATCAGGCAGCAGTGGCATTGGCTCTTTACCCCTCCCATACACACACACACAGAGCCATAAAGCAGTGACGCAGTTTGTCCTCCCCTGGCAAATACCCAAGGCTCTGCCCCATACAATATAATAGGTGTGCTAAGACAGGAAATCAAAGCTGCTCTACCTAGTGCACAGACACAGGGAGGCTGCCAAATGAGGAGCCAAAGAAATATGGCCCAAATGAAGGAACAGAACAGAATCCCAGAAAAAGAACTAAGTGATGAGGAGATAGCCAACCTGTCAGATGCAGAGTTCAAACACTGGTGGTTAGAATGCACAAAGATCTCACTGAATATGGCAAAAGCCTAAGGGAAGAAATGATGGGTCTGCTAAGGGGAAAAAAGAAAAATCCACAGGAAACCAACAGGGAAGAGAAGGAAGCTGGGGTTCAAATCAACGATTAGAACATAAGGAAGAAATAAACATTCAGCCAGAACAAAATGAAGAAACAAGAATTCAAAAAAAATGAGGAGAGTTTAAGAAGACTCTGGGGCATCTCCAAAAGGGACAACATCAGAATCATAGGGATCCCAGAATGAGAAGAAGAACAACAAGAAATTGAAAACTTAGAGAACTTCCTCAATTTGCAAAAGGAAATAGACATACAAGTCCAGGAAGCTCAGAGACTCCCAAACAACTTGGACCCAAGCTGGGCCACACCAAGACATATCATAATTAAAATGCCAAAGATTAAAGATAAAGGGAGAATCTTAAAAACAGCAAGAGAAAGACAGAGGGTTACTTGCAAAAGAGTTCCCATAAGAATGTCAGCTGATTTCTCAAAAGAAACTTTGCAGGCAAGAAGGGCAACAAGTATTAAAAGTGAAGAAAAGCAAGGACCTACAGCCAAGATTACCCTATCCAGCAAAGCTATTGTTTAGAATGGGAGGACACTTAGCATAATACTCTCTAGTTCCATCCGTAGGGCAGGAGAAAGTAATGGGAGAAAAATGGGGACAACTATAATTGAACAACAATAAGCACACACACACACACACAAATACAAAAGAATGGAAGGACAGATAAAGTTCTTCCCAGACAAGGTAAAGCTAAAGGAGTTTCCTAAGGCAGGAATCACTGGAGGGGGGAGGTTACTAAGTAGAAGGGAGAAAAGGAGGAAAAATTGAGATAACTGTAATAGCATAATAAATAAAATGCTTAAAAAATTATAAATGAAGAGGTAAGCAAATCTAAGATTATAGAAACATGGAAATCATAAAGGTAAACCTAAAATCAACAAACTAGAAAATAAATATATAATAGAGAATATAAATTAGTAAGGCAAAAACTAATGTTTGGAAAGAACAATATTATTAAACCCTTAGCTAGAAAATTATTTTCAATAAATAGTGCTGAATTATTTGTGTGTGTGCACGTGTGTGTGTGTATGTGTCTGTAAAATATATACAGACTATACAAAATATACTCAAAATGGATCATTGGCCTTCATGCAAAGTCCAAATCAATGAAACATTAAAAAGAAAGTTTAGACAAAAATTGGTTTTTCCATTAATTTCTTGACAAGCATAGTTTGTGAATATGGATTATTTGTATCTGTTCTTGAGAAAATATTTGCTTTCTAGAGTTTTCAATTAGAAAATGCATCCTGTTTCACAATCACCATCATATTCTATTAATACTAATGTTATAGAAATTGTCCCATAAAACCTTTTGGCAGTAAGAGTCTCATACATTCCCACTTAGACAGCTATTGTCATCTTAAGTATCAGAGAACCCCTTACATTGATGATTTTTGAATATTTATTGAGAATAATGTTAAATTTCTTCCTTTTTAAAGGACATATATATTAAATTATTCTAAAATCACATGCAAAGACTTAAAATATATTGTGTAGGTTCCTTTTACATTAGCCTTCACACTGCCCAAAAATCAGTTATAAAATTTTTCATAATCATTTAACAACTCATTTTGTCATCATCCCCACTTTCAGATAATGAATACTATTTAAAAAATATAAGTATTGACACATTCAACCATTTTTAAAATACTGTATCTTATGAGGATATAAAATAATTCAATAAAACAGCTTGAATAAGAAATGAAAACTCACTTAGAAACTAAGAAAATATTGACCAGTTACTGATAACTAATAAAAACAAGAAATAATATTGTGTTTTAGGTTTAACATTGCAAAAAACAAGCACAATTTTTAAGATAAATAGTATGAGGACCATTAAACATATACAACACTGTTCAATGTCCCATAACATCCACTAGATGTCTCCAATAACTGACTCTGAGCAACTAACTACATTCTTTCTAGAGCCTACGCATTGAGTACTGAAACACAAACCACGCAGATATTTTGATCTTCCTACAAAAATTCATATTTTTCTAAGCAGAAGAAGTTATTTTAATCAACATGCAAAATGAAAAAAGAAACTTACATTCAATATCAAGGTACATGCTCTTTTGGTGCCCCCCAATTCTGCTGGCAGCCTCACAGTCGTATCTCCCTGAATCCGACAACTTCACATCTTTAATGTGCAAGGATGAGCTTCCACGCTGTCCTTTCACTTCAATACGGCCGTCTGGGCTCTGTGACATCGAGTCAGAAAGAAGGAAGGTTTTATGCTTCTTTTGTTTAAAATGATGATGGAGATGGAGCACATACCATGTATGATAAACACAATAAACAAAATAAACCTTTACTTGTATTCATTTAAAAAAAAACCCTCAGTGTTTCTATATTTATGATTTACACTTTCTAGTTTATCCATTTTGCCTGTCCACTTGCTTACAGGGACACTGACATGTGGTAAAAACTTAAACACATGTTTTATCAACCTCTTCTATATAGTATGCTCTTTGCTTTTTAAAAAAGCTTCCACGTTCTTCCGGGACGGGTTTTGTTGGCTTCCAATTATGTTCCTTGCAAACATAACGAAACAAGAACAATGCCTTCCAATTCTGCCTAAAACCTATCAATGAAAATAATATTCCTGTGGCACTTTAGTTTTATATCCACTATTTAAGTAAAAAAGTCAGGATTTATGAAAATTAAAGCCGTAAGGAATTTATAGTTTTCATTCTTGAATAAATGCAACAGCACTGTTCATAAACATAATTAGTACCAGATGCAGATAAATTATTAAAACACATACTAACTTATTCTTAGGAAGTCATTGGAAACTGTATGAAGATGATTAATTACTTACTCCATGAATATTGACTCAAATAAAGGAAGTGCTTATAAGTCAATAGTCTATAGATTATATTTCAAATAAGAATTCTTGTGTGCAAGAAATTTAGCATACTTAGAATTATTTTCTTAAATCACTTTTATACCACATGTATTAAAAGATAGTTTATTCATTAAATTTTACTTCATACCATCATAAAATATATTGAACTATTAGCATTTTATAATTTATTTGAAATGCACTTTATTCTTATTGAGTCAATTCTTTTCAATATTTGAGGTTTTAGGGTCTCATAAATATTTTATGGCATATATTTATTTTGAAATATGCATATTATTATGTAACAATATAAGAGTTGTTTAATTTTCTATATGACTGAAGTTCAATTAAGTTTTAATACATTTGCAAACTTTGCATTATTAAAATTTGGTGTTTAATCATTTTCTTTATTAATATCAAAAGACTTTTAAGGCTCTTTTTCAAATATAATGTTGATTGGGGCACAATATGTTTCTTTTTGCTGTTTAATTTTATATAGGTATTCAATTATTATATAATTATAGCAGTCACTCATAATTTATTACTATCGTAAAAGCAGTCTTCACAAATCAAAGAAACAAAAACATACTAGGGACGCATTATGCAACTGAGATCAAAATTTCCAGGCCAACCGCGTGTACCCCACTCCCAAGTGTTGCTAAAAATAATAATATTAGGAGGTTTTCGAGCAGAAGTGCATTCTCTTCTGCCAGTTTCTAATATGTTCAACTGCCAAGTCCATTTACTTGAGACAAAAGGAGAATAAAAGTGAAAATCTACAAAATGGCCAATCTGTTATACAGGTAACTAAGGTTCAATGATTACTTGTTTATTCATTGGTCCTTACCTCCCTGTGCCTCTGTCCATCACTGGACCTTACTGCATTCCCCTCCCTCCTTTTCCACTGACTCCCCTTGGCTTTCAGAGACCCATACTCCGGTTTTCCCCACTTCACCTCTTTGACTCCTCTGTGACCCCAGTGGCAGAACCCTCTCTCCCTGAAGTCCCCTATATCCTGTGCTGGACTCTGTCCTCTTCTCAGTTAATATACTCTGCTCAGTCCACGTCTACAAGGGGGTGATCTTTAGTCACCCTTTCCCCAGCCAGTATCTCTCTTTCCTGGAACTTCAGAGTCAGATTATCTCACTTGCAGAGCTAGTCCCTTTGATATGTATCTCAATCTGGCAGGTGCAGACTTGAACATATCAGCCCCTCACTCAGCATCGCCTGCTCCTCCCACACTGTCTTCTCTCCATGAATGATATTATTTTACACATCCCATGCCATACCTGTCTTGAGTTAGTTTCTGAATCTTTATCTATTTATATTCCTAATTATGAAAAAGCACAATTTATCATCTTGTTCTACATTAGCATTTCCAATTTTCAGCAATTGTGTCTTGTAGACTTATCTGTTCTTTGCTTGTCCTATTTACAGTCTCTGTAGTGCTGCTGAGCTGAAATGATATTGACAGGCGTCTCAGGATTTCAGAGAGAACAATCACGATAAGGCTGAATGTGACCGAAAAAGACTCCCTGACTCTGCAAAAGTCATCAGCATTATGCTATTTCCTGTGTTTCTCTCGCAAAAACTCATTCCAGCTGCAGAAATTATTTCTTGTGAAGCTAAGAATATGTTTTTTTTTAAACCAAACTTTTAATTCTCATAACAACTTGATGAAGGTTTCATATGCCCTGTGCTCCGTAATCATAAATAACATTGTATTCCCTTCCAAATAAGCTTCTATCCCTCGGTCTGACGTTTAAGGACTTCCATATGGCATCACTTTTCTGGGTAAGCACACTTTACAATTTGGGTTCCAAAATTAATTTGAATTACTTGTACTGTCATGAATATCCTGTGCTTTCCATAAGTATCCTTCATTTAAGACCTGTCTTAAATAATTCCCCCTTTATGTCTTCCCCCTCTATGTCTATTATAATTCCTTTAATTTTAGGCCAAATATCAATTTATATTCAAAACAGTTCCTGGTTGACTATGTTATATAATTATTAGATATTCATATATTTATTCCATATTATATTTATTATATAGAAAATCATCTATTATTTATAATTACTACTTTGAATTTTGTGCTTTTCTTGGGACACGTCTTTTCTAGTTTTGTTGAAAATTCACTACTGGGTGATATTATAGTTGAAAAAATATAAGAACATTTTTGTGTTACTTGATGTGAAAGTCATTTGGACCAGTGCTTAGGACAGAACCCTTATATTCTAATATAATTAAGTCAATGAAGTTATGGTGAAATCTACATATAGTTTGAGAAAAGAAAATGTAATCCTTAAGCTATTTACAGGTTAATAGCTATTTATGGGTTAAAAACTTAAATTTATCCTCTCTATTAGAATATGATGAAATACTTTATTGAAAACAAATTCTTCATTTTTCCATTCAGAAATAATATTGTTCTTTTGAGGTATGGAAAGGTAAATTCACCTCCCTTGAAAACTAAACAAGTTTTCTTGTTGTTGTAAATGACAGGTTTTTTAAACATGTAAAAAATTTTTCACATGTATAAAAGTAGCATTCTATTAGTTAAAAATGTTGCTACTTAAAAGTTATTCATAAATCTAAAGTTATTAACAGAAATTCTAGAAGAATGGAATTTCTTTAGGAAAACGTGTGACTCCCTAATTATAAGTCATTTTCAAACTTGGCATTGGCTCTATGATAATGCACACTATATATTAGTATCAAATGTTTCAACTAGAAGACCAAAGTCATTCCTTCTCATATCTGACACTCCAAAGGACATCTCCTTGTACTACATAAATGCATTACACATTTCTGAAAGAAAATTCATTTATATATTGGCTTTGATTCACCATGTACTAAAAATTCATTTATGGCACCTGATATTTGATTGAGACAGGTTAATGGACATATTAGCTGTCCATCTAGTATTATCAGGTTCGATCACTGCATTAGGTAAGATGATTAAAAAGTAAAGTGTCTGACTATACATTATTATTGCAATTCTTTACAGAGAGGCACTCTCAGAAATTTTATTTGGGCTATATTCTTTGCTTTTCCAGAAAGTCAATTTAAGAACTGCTTATTTGAGTAGTATTCTGATATTTTTATAAAATGATTATTTATAGGTTACTGTCCTTTCAATAATCCATTAATCAAATAACTGTGATACCTATATTTTTCAGTTTAGTGTCAATGTGAATATTTTATTGATTTTAATTGTTAGACATTTAAATTACACAATGTATCATGTTAATAGGTTACAGTATTTTTGTAACCTTACATGACTAGACCTGTATTGCCAAATTTAGAATCCAATCATAATACACAACAACACACCTGAAGTAGCAGGTATTCCTTATCTTTCTTCCTTATACTCATGTTTTTCAACCTTCTTGATGTCATTGACCCCTTTTGGCATTTTGGAAGAACTGTGGATCATGTCTCTTAGTTACTCAATGATTTTTTGTGCAATTATCCCACAATAATCACCAAGTCACTGGAAATACATGCTGAGGAAAACAGAATAATTTCTACCCTTAGTGGAATTAAAGTTTAACAGAGAAGACAGCTATTAGTTTCAGAGTATAGTACAAATAAAGTGAAAAGTACTGTGTAAGGACAACACAGTTTCATCTTGGAGGTAAATGGAGGTGTGAGGTAGAGTCACCGGTATGCTTCCAGGTAAACTGAAGTGTGGATTGAGATTTGAAAATGCTGAAAGAGAGATGGTGTTGTAGAGAGATCAGGCAAACTTCCCTAGAAGGCACAAAAAAGAACAGAAGGAAGCCAGCAGGTGCACGGGAGAGAGGGCACCTGGGATCTCTTGATGTTGGGCAGGTAAATAGAGAATGCTTGCAGAACCCAAGACAAATGCAGACACTCACACAAAATTGCACCCCTGGACTATATATTCTGTGTGCCTTTTCATAGTGGCATTAAATCTGTACTAAATGTAAATGTAAATGTAATACTTGACGGTGGCGTCAAGGCGTAACTGCTAAATATGTAAACAAGAAAACAGATGCTCTTTAAAGGTTATGGCATTAATTTACTCAAACTAATTTCTCAAAAGTGTGTTACCATTTTGTTGAGTTGACTCATTTCTGCAAAGAATTTTAAACAGAATTATCCTCTTTCTTCCCCGTAATAGTTATATGTTTACTCTTAGCCTCGATTTCTTTTTCTTCTGGGCTTGATCCCAACTTCCTAGTTTTCTTCCTATTTTAATTTCATAAATCAAACTTTTGTATTGGGCTGGCCAAAAGGTCTGTATATTTGTTCCATAAAATTAAAAGATACATTTTTCATTTTCACCAATAACTTTATTGATTTGGGTATTTTGAGTATGTTGGCTCT